CACTATCCTCATTGAATTAAAATTAAGAAACCTGAATCTTTTTTATGATGTGACAATCCAATAACTACTACTACTTGATTAAAGGCTGCAAAGACTAAATTTTCAGAAACGTCAAAAAAGATAAGATTTATGCCATACATTTCACTCGTTGTCGTTCTCATTGTATGTCAGATAAGACTTATGCCATATATTTCACTCGTTGCAGTGGATATGAGATTGATGACTTAGGCCTAGAGCTTTTCATGTGACATAGAATAAAATATATTTTAGGATGTACCGTATTTGACGGCATATAAGACGCACCCTTATTTAGAAGGCCACACACATTTAGATGTAGAAAAAGTTATGTGTGTCTAGACCTTTATCTGGGCTAAAAATAGTATTCAGTATTGAAAGTTAACCTGTGTCCTTCACGTATAAGACGCAGGTAACTTTTTTGAGACCAAATTTAGGAAAAAAGGTGCGTCTTATATGCCGTCAAATACGGTAATTACTTTTTATTTTATTTATTTATGCATTTGGATGTTCAGTACTTTCATTTGGCTCTAAATCAAACCTTCAATCAGGCAACCTGTTCAGAGCTTACAATATTTTCTGTATTCTCTGGGTATCCTTAGGATTTGGTGAAGAGAGGGGAAAAAGTAGCTAGAACGACACAAGTAACAAAAACAACAAACAAGCGAGGAGGGGGGAGAAGAATGTATGAAGGAGAAGTTATTTCTCAGGAGATGTCAACCACTCTGAATATCAGAAACAAGATGATAAGCTCGAGAAAAAACTTGGTTTGAACGAATTTCACCATGAAGTCAGCTACGATTGACAAATAAATGAATGTGCGTACTTTATAACGGATATGACAGAACAACAACAGACAGCAGCTGAGCCAGAAAATTATCTCGATGCTGCACATGTGGATCGCGGTCGGTGAATGAGCTCTCCAAAAGCCATTGGAGTGTCTAAACGATGAAATTACTGTCATGAACAATGAAACACACGTATATGTTTGGAAAAATGTTTTTGCCATAAAACTAAGCTTGAAATTGAGCAATAAATTTCAAAATGAAAATTTTATCAAATAATTTTTCAAAATAATAATAATAATAAAAGACTAAAATCGATAAAAAATAAATTTAACATTTATTAACTGAGATTTCGTTCATAGTATGGGTGAAATACGAAACGTTCAATGGACGATGCGAATGCTTGTTTTGCAGTGCATCTCTGGCCACTGTAATTTACATGGTAGCAATCAAGCAGATTTTCTTGCGCAAACGGGTGCCATGCTGTTACACGGTACAAAACGAGAAACCTCTCCTCACCTCTAAACTATTTATATGACAATTTATGCAGTCAATATACCACAATAAACTCTTGTGCAAAACTGTAGCCAACTATGGAACAAATTTTCTTTTAGATATACCTGATAAACCAAGACGGGAGGCAGTGGCTACTTTTTGACTACTTATAGGACATGATTGCCTGGATGCGTTTCTCCGTCATATTGGCTTTCTCACTGATGCTGGCTGCCCCTTGTGTGACAAAAACGAGCCTATGGACCAACATCACCTGCGTGTCTGCGGAGTTGTCTATGGAAATATTCATGCTTATGGATACTGGGGGGGGGGCTGAGAAAACTCTTGCGGCGATCACCTTAGGACCTCTTGAAATTTTTGATGTTGTTTTTAGTACTTGTATTCATTTTTTTCTTCTTTGTTCATGTGCCCCGCCATTGGAATTTGAAAATGTGCTCATTGTAGATGTTGTTCTGAATAAAGCTTGTACAATTTTTTTTTTTTTCATTTATGGTTTAAGTAAAAGCAGTCTAATTTTTCTTGAAAATTCGTTTTTAACTCCGATGTAACTCGATTAAAAAAACACATTTCCTTTCGTTAGTTAGTCTTCTCAAAACAGATTTTCAAAACTTTTATCCTATTTTCTGCAATTTCATTTTTGTAAAGCTACATTGAAATGCAGAATACTTTTTTCCAGTGAATCTTCTAACGTTCATAAATAGACCTGAGAAAGTCTATAAATTGCTATTTGTAATTTTTGAACTGAACATTGAAACAAGCCTTTTCCTTTGTATTTGTATATATTTGTATTAAAAATGAATTCATTAAAAGTTTGCCTCCTGGGACAAAAATATTGAGATATTGCGTTTCCTAGATATCTGAGTGTGTATATAAGTTTCTTAATGCTTTCATGAGATCATTAATCTTTGAAACTTCTAGCTGAAGTAATAGCATACGTATAATTCTTTGAAGAATTTATGGCATCTACTTTTATACAAAAGATTCAGTGGAGTTACCTATTGCTGGAAAAGTTGAAGTACTGCAATTTATATTGAGGTTTTGGTTAATTATAAATATAAAAGTTAAAAACTAACATAGCACCTTTAAGTCAGCATTTAAATAAGCATTTATTTGGTAGTCTAAAACGTATCTTGAGCCTTTTGCTCACGAGATGCGTTGGTGTTCCTAATCTTAAGGTATACGAATCCCAACGAATCAGGCTGAACGTCATTTAACAGCTGGTATTTGAAGTTAGTGGATATGCAAAAAATGCTGAAATTCTTACGCTCAGACAACGCCAGACAGCATACATCTTTAACGACCCGTCAAAAAATCAGAAAACATAACTAAGAAGTTTTAATGTATCCACCATATAGTACAGCCTAACATCATTACATGAACATTTGTTTCGCTCTCTATAGAACTCCTTGAATGATGTTTAGTTTCAAAAGAGACCTATATGAAAACCACGTGTCACAATTTCTTGACCAGTAACCACAGTCCTTCTCTAGTGACGGATGGTGTTGCCGGAAAAATGGAAGAAGGCCATTGCACAAAACGGTGTCTGTATTTTCAAAATGTTATTTATCAATAACAATAAATATATTTTCAGCTCCAAAGGCTCAATACGTTTTAGACAATTCAATATTTGCGCATAGAAAAAAAATCATTTGCGATTTAAGTAACAATAATAATGCCAACAATGCTGCAGATCTATTGGGGAAATTTAAGGCTAAATCAATGCTCAGTCCACATTCGCACACTAAAAGAAAGAATCCTAATCATGATAATTTTGAAGTCTTTTTTTTAAAGGTCAGTTTCAAATTCTGATCGTAAAGCGTAACCTCATTGAAAGCTGAAATGTCTGAAACGTTTCGGACGATATTTTGGGAACATTAAATCTGAAATCACAAAAGATATTCGAGTTATTGCTCTAGTAAACTTCTTTTTGTTTTTTTCTCACATTACTACCAAAAAAAAAAAAAATTGTCGTTTAGGGTCCAATTTTCAAAAAAAGTTAAAAGTTATTCTTATTTGACATTAAAGACATGTATCTTATTTGACATGTTATTCTTATTTGACATGTTTTTAAATTAAGTTGAATAAATCCTCTAACTTTGCATAATTCTACACATAAAAGACATTCAGCATATTTTTCATACAATTGTATATTTTATATTCCTTTTACATTTTTAATGGAAGATATTAACATTTTGCAACTTTTCAGATGCTTTATATTAAAATTCTGTTAAATAGTAATTAAAGCCTTGTTATTTAGTTGGATACTTCAACGACAAATATCACTCTTACAAATTACCCGAACTACTTATTTTAAGTGATCTGTGAGACTACTTTTAAAATTTGATCCTTGAAGTACTATGGAAAATTTAGTATAATCAAAATTCAGTTTAACATAAATATGCAGACTACAGCAAAACACAAAATAGTATATACTAATACTTAATATAATTTTATAAGTCAAGGACTTAACATAAAGTGAGTTAGCTACACAAAATTAGCAATCAGATTAGTAGTTATTATATAAATATTTAAAATAATTAAAATCCATTTACACTACCAAAAATTTTAAATACAATTCCAGCTTTCTGTACAGCATACCAGAGTATTTTTGTTTTATGATAAAGAAGTAAATATTAATTTTGGTCATTTGTCTGCGTCTCAATAAACGCAAAACTAGCAAGAATTATCTGCCTAAAAGGAGGCACGCCTTCGTAGAATTGTTCTAGAGTGAAATAGGCTTACTTTGAAGTTACACATAGAAGAAATTATAAAAAGGCCATACAGTCAACCCCTTCGCCAGGACATGAACACGGATACAACTACCGAGTTCGATGGTCTTACTTACTCGTTATACTAATCGTACTAATTAATAATTGTGCATAAAGGCAATTACGGAAAATGATTTGATAATTTTAACACCTATAATTAACAACTGTAGTTAAAAGCAATTACAGCACGTTTTCAGCGCTATTTGCAAAAATAAATATCCAGCATATGAATAAAGAAATTGCAATCAGAACTTAAAAAAATATAAACTAGAAATAGCTGCATAAAAAATTCTTAAGTTATTTTGAGTAAAGTAATTTAACTTATAACTTATCGATAATTAGAGCAAGCGTGGTTCACTTAATAATCTGTCAGTATTTTGAACAGTGTACTTTATTGTATAATCTGTAAGTATTTTGAATAGTTACTTATATAATCTGTTTCATAATATAATCTGTATAAAATAATATAATCTTATATAATCTGTTTGTTATGTAACGTTATATAATATGAACAATTACTTATCTTATATCTGTCTAATGTGATCACCAACTTCACGAAAACTATTAGTGTTTAGTTGCCTTAAATGGTATAAATGGCTTTATTGGTATAAAATTGTTCAAATATAAATATTCGAGAAACGGAGTAACGCGATAAATGAAGCAGAACCAGAAATCTCCTTTAAAATGTTCATTTTTGTCCTTTATAGGACATTTTATAATGTTCCCAAATCACATACTCTTTTAACTATTTTGATGCGTAGAGTTTCCGATTTTTATGATAAAATTGGAAACATTAAATATTTTAACATATTTCTTGTTAAATAAGCATTTTAAAGGTAAGTCTTTGCTCAAAAATGTGCAATAAGATATTTTATTGTCTGTTTATTCGAAAAGAATTAAAGATGAAATTAGTAATTACCAAAATGCTAGAATTGTACATCATTCTTGTTTGACGTCACGCAGTAGTAGGTTTTACTTTCAGCTTTGAGCTTACTGAAAAAAAAAAAAAAAAAAAAAAAAAAGGCGGAAAACTATTTTCAGTATTTAACGTTCAAATAAGCACATGATATTAATAACATTAATATTCGTTAACTAAAAATAATTTAACAAAAGTATAGCACTAAAAATTAGCAACAGGGATAAATAAAATCATTAAAAAGAAAGAAATAATGCAAATTAAGGACACTTCAAAATTGTGAGTACTGCACAAATCTAGAAATGAAATTAAATAAACAAATAAACAAATTATAAAATTCAAAGCAGGAAACTTTTCAAACAAAAGGAACAAAAACAAATTATGACAAAAGAACTCACAAAAAAGTAAAATAAGTAGGTCAACAAAATGTAATTTGTTATCATATTTATTTAAAATTACAAAAATGTTTACAGCACAACACATTTACAAAATTTTGTATACTTTAAATCAGTGTTGTCAGACTACTGCTCCATCCCTCTCAGTTTTTTGGGGAGAGAGGGGAAGGAATAGGGCATTTCAATAAGTAAAAGTTAAATAAAATATATAAAGGTATGCTAAATATTTATTTATACTTTGACTGATTATATACTTAATACATATGCATTATTTATGTGATTATGAATGGGAATTATTATCATTATTATTATTAGCAAATATAAATAAAAATATTTTTATTGATTTCGATAAGCTTATATAAAGTCTAAATTTAAATATTTTACTTTTCATTGGACATTTGATCTTATCTAGCCATAAATGCTTTATTTTTCCCCTTTAAGGTGAAAGTTTTAATTTTAATTAAATTATGAATACTTCGTATTTTCTATTAATTCAAACTAATATAAATTGCATTAGTGGGATCTCAGTTAAAATATTATCAAAAATCATTTTAAAACTTAATAAAGAAATTACTGTTGAATACATATTGCTGAAATTAATAAAATTAAAGACAAAATTTTAAAGTAAATTATGCTGCATTAGGGAGAAAGTAAATAAATGAATATAAAATAGCTTCTATGTTAAATAAGTGTCAGGTAACACTCATAGATGGCGCCACTATAAGCAGCTATTTGAAGACAGTTTTATTCTATATTGTTAACTGCCGTCTGCTCAACACCTTCTCTTTTACGATTCCCATACGCTTTTGATTTTGAAAACACAGTTTGACACAGTTATTTAAGCTTTCATCATAAACAATCTATTCATTTTTTTTTGTCTAAGATGTATTTAACGGTTTCGGTAATACGGCCTACATTAATTTTCGATTGAGTGTAATATATCAAAATCACATTAAAAAAAATTTCTCTGAATTTTTCTTAAGAACAATTTAAATAATACAAAAAAAAAAAAAAAAACTAAATATAAATTTTTTCTCATCGCTTCTTATATCCTAATATCTACATTCGCGATATATGCTCATGAAGATGTTTTAAGTTTTGGCAAGTATTTTGTAAACTATGTTATCGCTATTTAATTAAAGATAATAACGAATTCAACGAATAGAAGGCAGCACGATAGCAACAGCCGTAGAGAGAGAAAGACAAGGACGAGAGTAGTGGATATTTTGCATTTGTATAGCATTGTTGTTATTAAAGTTAAAAGATTCCAGCTTGTGAAAGCCATCTTAGTGAGATAACTAAACATCGATACGATGAATTGAGCTGGAAAAGACATCAACAGATATTTTTTAAATTATTCAATCATTTTTTGTATTTTTTTTTCTGTGATATTTTTTTAAACTATTCATCAGTTTTTAACTATTTTTTCAGATATTTTTTAAACTACTCGACATTTTTACCTAATTTTTGTATGATATTTTAAAAATTATTCGATGCGTGTTTAAGAAGCTATGCATTTAATAACCACTAATGCTATCGATAAATAAATTATATATTGAACACACTTGTGTTTTAACTCTTGTGTTTAATCATTCAGATAAATTTTATAGAAGAATTATGTAAATACGATCAATCTAATTTCAAGTTAACTGCTGACAAATATTCGACACATGTGAATTCTCAACAAATACATAAGTAATGCTTAAACCACTGATTTGAATTACAAATTATATGTTTGTATCATTTGATATTTTGAGAAGAGATCTCGCAAAACGCTTAAATTAAAAATTGAAAAGGAAAAAGTAGTGCCGCAACTGAATAGTAAATGAAACTAAGGATTTTCAAAGACACAAAGTATCTTATTTGAAAGAAGAATAAATAAATAAATTAAATAAAAGGGATCAGATACATTATATATACCATCAGAAAACATCTTTTATTACTTAAAATATTGCTACAAATGTTCATAAAAATTATCAATTCGTTATATTGAACATTAATTGTATTAAAATTGTGTCAGAGTACCTATCAATAGTAAAATAAAATATTTAAATTATTAAGTAGTTTGTTCATCGCGTTTAAATCGTTCATCTTGTTATTCACGAGTTAAATTTTAAATTTAATAATCTTAAATTTTCCGAGCAACAACATTGTGGGGCATGTGGACGGTAAATTAAAGATGTTATGCTTCGTGCAATAGCAGCATTTATCAAGCGCTGCTTCTTGGCTGGCATTTTCCGAGGTAAGATCATGTGTATGGATTTTATTTTGCCAGAAGAGGGTTTTATGTGCTATCTGAAAACTATACTCTTCCTTTGAAGCCATGAGAGGACCATCCAGTTATCCAAAGAAGTTAGACCGAATATTTGTAGCAATTGAGTTCTATTGAATATGCCATCAGCATGATCTTTATAGGTCTATTCAACGCTGCTCCAGCTTTTATTACCCTATGTTCCGAGGTTATTACTTGTTAACCTACAACAATGCTTCCAACTTTTAGTCTCGCGGGTCCACATACATATGACTGCAAATTGTCGCTACCATTTGGGCATAGCTGCTCTGAGAAACAGAGTGAGAGAAAAAGGAAAGGTTCTTATAAAAGAATTAGGTAACAATAAAAAAAGAAATTAAATACGAATAGATACTAACCATTAATTCATATTTATACATTAACAAATATACATAAATATTCAAAATTATGTAATAAACCCGCCAAAATTTGTCTCGGAATCCCCACTTCAGGAACCACTACGCTATTTCTTTCCTTCATTAAGCACTTACACACTCCATTCCAAAATGCTGCCTGACAATAGTCGAGCGGCGAAAGCTACATTCCAAACGGCTATTCGTTTCTGATTCGATTTTTAGTGACTGAAAGGGTTGATTTAATGAACCTTTTGTCCATCTTCCCTTGTGAAACGTAAATATGAACAAGGTTTCCCTTCATTTAATGAAGATATCCATTGAGTACTTTGACACAGATAATGAACCTAACCTAACCCAAGTTACGATGAATCAAGTGAATTAATATTAACTTTAATAAGCTGTATATACAGAAATTTAATTAGCTGTATTTCAGTATACAGAATGAGTCCGAAATATCCTTGCACTATAAAATAAATGCGACGTATTGCTGTATATTGTAGAAGGAAACGATACATTAAACTTGAAACTTCATTTTTTCATTTCAAATAAGAGTCACGTTCAGAGTTTCGCCATTAGCTAACATGAAACTGAACACATAGTAGCAAGTTACAATTGCAACGACAGCGATTACGTACTAGAACGTTTATGAATCCACGAGTTAAGCGCGATGTGATTTTAATGTAACATTGTTAGCATCGACTATGGGAAAATGGAGCAAACGACTGTATACGATAAAAAAATATTCAGAAAGAAAAACACCCCGGGCTGGATCGGCAATAACACTGCTGCAACATCAATAACAATTGCGGAAAGATTCGCTAACAGGCTAAGGAGAAAAGCAATAAACTGAGTATGATAGATATTGTTGGGCAGTTCTTCAGTTTAAAGAAGTAACTTTCAAATGGCATTACATCACTTCCTGTAATCATAATATTACTATCAAACTAAGTAGTTAAATGTGTAGTAATACTATGCACCTAATACTATGTGTATGTATCCCTTTCATGATTATTCATTATTATTTAAATGTTCAAAATACGCGTATATATATTTGTGATTTTTTCTTAACTTTATGATTACTAATAATTACTCAAATTTAAAACTGAACAAATTCGCTTTAATTTTCCTAAAAAGGTGCTACGTACTTATTTTTTTAAATCTAAATTCAGTTTATGCTTAATATCCTTCTTGATATATTATTATCCTATTTTGTTTTTCATTAAAAAACAACTGAAGAATCTGTTGCACTAGTTGTGATGGCTGACTTTCCAAAACACCTGTCTGCTGTTGATAAATATGGTAAAATTCAATATGGTAAATATGGTAAAATTCAACTGTGCACTTTTTTTCATTTTTTGAAGATAAGTGCAATTTTCAAAATTGCTGTTTTGTTACGATAAAAATTTCTTTTGCATGACAAAAATATGCAGTTTTTCAAAGTGAAAAAACCTTTTTCAGTCGAAATAACAGCTGAAAAGACTAAGAGTGTCGCAAGCCTACACGTGGCTCATTAAAAAATCGTTGATTTGTTCGGCTTGCGAAAATACCTCATTAGTCTTTAAGAATATGATTTCCTGAAGGTAGAAAGACTATATTATAAATCACAAAGGTTTAGCAATTTTGTTTCTCAGAAGTTGGCTGAACAGTTAATTAATTATAATAAAGCACTCGAACGCTACCCATTCTCTATGGTGGAAGCCAAATTTAACTTCTGCATTCTGTTACAATTTTTTTAATCTCTTTCATGTCTCAGATCTTTAACTTAATTAGAAAACTTGGAAGAACTAGCAATGCTAGACACTTACATCATTCATGCTTTAATATATTTTAATATATTCTTGCCTCAAGTAAATACACCATTTTAAAATAATATATTCAAAGGAAGGAGGGGGTCGGAGGAAAGAAAAGCGCATATAATAACCTTTATTCTAAATTCAACGAAAGCAGACGAAGTATTCAAAAAGATTTTCACTAAGGAATTGCTGAAGTTACACAAAGTTATTTTGTAAACAAATAGTTGATTTTAAATTTAGTAG